TATATATATATATATATATATATATATATATATATGTATAGACACACACACATCTTGCTGTTAATTTTGTAGGTAGTTATTAACAAAGAAAAATACTATTTTATCCATGAAATGTGACAAATTGAAATATAATTATCATTAGATTAGGAATGTTATTGAGAAATCATGCATATCAAATGGTTAAAGAGCGCTTGCTATTCTGTAAAACAATTGAAAACACTAGATGATTCGCCAGAGGTGGTTCGACGATTGCACTTCGGCTGCTGAGTATAAATAATAAAACCTTTGACTTACAAAATATATGTACGTTATTATGTGAATAGTTTCAGTCTTTCAGATATTTATATTTATAGGTGAAACTCAAAGAGGTGTTCGTATAAAAATCGAAGGGAACAAGAAACTCGACTCCTTTCTATAAGTTTTAGGAGGATTTTAATAAGTTTAAATCTAACATCATATCCCAATCAAAAGTTTAAGTTGTTATTAAGATATACTCCCTCCTTCCCTTAATAGTTGTCACTTTTCCCATTTTTTATGTTTCAAATTATTTGTTATTTTACTATTCCAATGAATCATTAATTGCAAGTTTTTCAATTATACCCTTCCTCACTCATAATTAATTAAAATATAATTAGTTAAAAATCAATTAATGGCATAGGTATTATAGTGCTTTGTTATACTTTTTGTTACTATCGGTGCGTATTTATTGAGTTTCTTAATATGTGTGCAACTAATAAAACTCACAACTACTAAGGAAATGAGGGAGTATCACTTAATATTTATATATCCAACATATCAGCACGACTCGATATCATATTGAACGACGACGACATCAACCAAAAATTTAAACCGTTGACAGGGGCAGATCCTAATAGGGGCTAGGAGGGGCTCTAGCCCCCCAAGAATTTTGACATCTATTTCATATATATATATATATATTAATCCAAGCAATCAAATTTTAAAAAAATGTTCATTCTCACCTAAATAAATCGGCATACGAGTTATTACTAATATATTTTAGTAATAAAATTATTTTTTATATATTATCGGAAACTTAGCCCCCCAACGTAAATGGCTCACGGCCGCCCTTCCGTTGATATATATTATTTAGTATTTATATCTCCAACAATAGATATTAATCATATATATATATATATATATATAATTAAAAAGGAGAATTTTTAGGTACTTAATTAGGAATTGCGGGTCTTAGTAGTTTATTGAAATAAGCAATAATGACATCATGCCCACGTACATAAAGATTATTATTTCTTGTGACTTTGGTTTTTCTTGCAAGTTCCCACGTTATCCATCTCTATATATATCTAACCTTAACTAACTCACACAATTTTCATAATTAAGCTCCTACACAGCCAGAATTGCTTTCTATTTCAATTTTTTTCTATTCCAATGCTGAATTAAGAATTGATATTGAAAAAGAATTATCAAATCTCCCTTATTTATATATATATATATTTTTCATTTTTTTTGTTCCGTACAAAATAATATTCGAGGAAGAGAAAATGGGTCTAAGAGATATCGGGCACACGCTACCACCGGGTTTTAGGTTTTATCCGAGCGACGAAGAACTCGTTTGCCATTATCTTTACAGAAAGGTTATTGCAGCGGCTAATGAAGAAGTTGTTCGAAATACTTTAGTCGAAATCGATCTCCATACATGTGAGCCGTGGCAGCTCCCTGGTAAGTCCTCGATTTTTTTTTTTTCCTTGAATTTATCCTTCTTTATTTTATTTTATTTTTACTGGCAACTTAAATATTTTAGTCGTGATAAAAAAAAAATCAAGAATTTGTTTAATTTAATTTAATTTATTTATTTATGGTGATGATCGCTGTAATATATCAGGAACTGATCAGTTGGTTTATGGTTAATATGTATGAGCATGAAATGCATGAACTGTGTTTATGTATTTGATGAATAAAAATGACAAACACCTCTAGTTAGTTATTTTTTTTGGGTTTTTTTTTTTGCAAAAACTACCCCTGTATAATCTCTAATTGCTAAAAAATCCATGTGTTAAAAAAATTAGCAAGAACACCCTGTGAAAAATATCAAAGCAAAAAAAAAATTGTAAAAACTTAATGTGTAATGTGCATTGTGAGAGTAGAAATGTATATTTTTTACTTAAAAAGTCAAAAATACCATTTGAAATTATTTTTGGCCCCCTTTTTTTTCCTTTTTTTAATATTTCTTTTGTAAGGATAATTTGGAATATTTTTCCTTTTTTCTAATATTTTTTAAGCGATGACTTAGTCACAATCACTAATTTCTACTTTTAAACAAGCTTTTGCAAACACCACTCTAGCTAGCTGCACATAAGTCATAATTTAATGTTGAGAAACTCTTATATAAATGATAATTTTGGGTTCTCTTGTCAAAACAAATTTACTTGCCAACATGCATAAACTTCCAAACAAAAAAAAAAAAAGAAAAAGAATTTAAGCTATAATTTTTGAAAAGAAAAAGAATAGAAGAATGTATTTGATAATTAAATAATATGTAAAAAAAAATTTAAATATGGTGATTACAACTTGTTGGTAATTAAAGACAAGAAGTGTGACATATATAATAGAGTTCCAGACATACAAGTAAGTTTAACCAACTTTTGTCTCTTCATCACAAGTTGTCAATACAGCAAAGTTATATATACTCGGTTTCAAGTATATATTGTGTGTGTATTTGCTTATCCAAAAAAAATAAAAACAAAAAAATAAGCAAATAAAGGTATTTCATATGTATTAGCAATCATCATAATTCATAACTAGTTGGCCAACACCTCATACATGATGATGTAATTTTATTAGTCTTTGCATGTATTCAAACACTCGCATAAAAAATTAATAATCTCGCTTGAATAATAATTATATTACATATGGTGACAACATATTAAATTATTAATTTAATAATTTAATGTCTATTCAGCTAAGATAATAAGATTGTACTAATCCTGACAGTATTAATTTATAGAGATTTAACTGTAATTTAATTAACCAATTATCGAGTATTGATCAAACTAATTAAAATTGTGAGTGTTTTTAAAAATTAAATAGATGTGGCGAAGCTGAATTCAGAGCAGTGGTACTTCTTCAGCTTCCGAGATCGGAAATATGCAACGGGGTGTAGGGCAAACAGAGCCACCACCTCCGGCTATTGGAAGGCCACCGGAAAAGATAGGGCGGTGGTGGACCCCACGAATCGAGAGGCGATTGTTGGGATGAGAAAGACTTTGGTGTTCTACAAGAATAGAGCACCAAATGGCCTCAAAACCGGTTGGGTTATGCACGAGTTTCGCCTCCAAAACTCTCACGTGCCGATGCCTCCTTATAAGGTTGGTTCATTTCATTATTTTTTAAACTTAATTTGCTCCTTTATTTTTCATTTTTTTTGGTATTATTATTCTTGTTGAAATATTGCATTATATATTAATTTTACGGGCGAGTTCAACTATTAGTATAGATGTGGACTCAAAGTTTATGGGAGTTCGCACAACGCCAACACCTTCGAATCTGTTTTTAGGCTTGTGTACGCATAGAAAATACATGAAAAAACCAAACTTTTTATTTATTTTATTAAAATAGCATACATTAAAAATAGTTTATATATGTTCAAAATATGATAATTGAAACTTCTTAAAACTTATTTTTGCATAGAATAAAAATTAAGTGTAATTAGGCTAAGCATATGTGGCGGAGCACGCTGGCTGATGGTATGTCCGCAACATTTCTCAAATTCCTATTATTTTATATAAAAATTTAAAATTGTTTATAATAACATTTTCGCCCCCATCTAATAAAATCTTTGACTAATTTTGTGATGAACATTGACAGGAAGACTGGGTGCTATGTAGAGTATTCCACAAAACCAGTAGTGGTGAAAATAGCAACAAATTACAAATTAGCCCACGTAATAATATATATGATGATTCCACCCCAAATATGGATTATTCTTCTTTACCTACAATTAATACCAACCAAAACACAATTGCCACTTCATCTCACCATCAACAACAATATAATGAAGAAGGACAAAACCCTAGGAGTAATTCTTCCCTTGCCTTATCGGAGGTCGACCCCGCGCGACACTTCATTGAGACGACTAAATGTGAGGACGGTATTTACGGATTCGATACGAGTTTCTTCGACTATACAAACGGAGTGCCCTCGAATAGTATTCTTGATGCTATGAGATTTGATTATGATAACTGCTCAGTATTCATATGAATTAATCTTTTGCACATTTATTAATTTTATTCATGAGTTGGTGTACTTGTGAAGGGTTATTGTAATTTGTGTGTTTATGTTTGAGGTTTGAATTTTTCAGATTGTTCTAGGAGGTATAGGTTTAGGGTTTGCAATAATTTGTATTTTCAATTGCCATATTTTTATTTATTTTGTTGATTTTATTTTCTATATACAAATTAATTTGTCACATTTTGGAGATTCTAAGGAATTTATGACTATTTATATATATGAATTGTGTTAAAGGGAAGGAAAGATAAGAGAACATTTATTTGATTATTGATATTCATAAAATTCATTCCAACTTTCACCCCAATTACTATTTTTTTTTTAATTGTAACTGAATAAATGTGTTGGGCTTAATTTAAAAAAAAATAAAATAAAAATTAAACGAATAAATTGATTTTGCATAAATCTAACTTGTATTACAGAAACCATGCACCAATCCAAATCCCCATTTGTTACAAACAAAAACTTGCATAAAATCCCCTCCATAGTTAACACACAGATTTTAATGCAAAAGGCATAGACACTAAACAAAAAAAAAGACAATGTAAATAAAACCTTAAGACAATGGAACTTACGTTGTTTCTTCGTCAAGCTTCCAAGCTATCAGGATTCACCTATTAAATCGAGCTCCGACTCAGCAACTCAACAAGCTCGTTCTTTTTCAACTTCGAGAACCCCTTCACCCCACGGGACTTTGCAATAACTCTCAATTCAATCATCTTCATTCCACTCAGATTAACACCTTCTCCGTTGTCATGTTCACTTTCGTAAGTTTCAGATTTTTCATCCTCTAATATCTCGTCAAATACACCAGACTCAATCTCCGTTTCACCATCAGCTTCTGGGGCCAAAGTAACATGTGGGACTAAATTATCAGAGCCCTCGGAGTAAATCGGCTGGAATTTGATTTCAGGTACCGGAGATCTTTTACGGAAGATTGATTTTGGCCGAGTTAGAATAGGACTTTGGCTTTCTTGCGTTTCATGCTTCGAAGTACTATTATTAGAGTCGGAGATGGTTGTGCTACTCTCTTCAGTAGAAGAAGGGTCACGATCCAGGAGGAAATCGGAATTGATGGCGCTGTTAGTGTTTTTCTTCACTTGCTGGGCAGAGTGTTTCCTCAAAAGCTTGAGAAGAGAATCGACAGTTTCGCTCTCTTCGTTATTTCCTATTGAATCATCAACTTTTGTTTCTTCCTTGGCTGTTGCCTTTTCGCGAAGTTGTGCCTGCACTTTGCGGAACAGCTCGACAATCTCCTTTTCTCTGGGACCCGGAGTTGTAGTAGTGGCTTGATATTTTCGGTTTCCAGAAAAGGAAAACGAGGGTCCGTTCTTGGAAGTCAAGGGTTCGGATTCTTGAAGGTCTTCATCACCATTCATCTCCTCGTTGTGCCTATTTCTATTGCGCGAAAAACCGTACTTGTTTTGCCTTGTGAAATCAGGGTTTCTTCTATAATGGCTGGGATTTGCATGACATACATGAGATGCTTGGCTAGAACCACACCTCAAAGATATGAAATTCACGTGAGAAACGAGTTTGTAGTCACCACGAGAAGGGTTGGTCGACGCGCTAACTGCTCTTCCAGAAACTCCTATGTGGGGAAGAATTTTATCATCCTGTGTACCATATCCTGCAAAAATCGAGAAGTGTGCGAAAACCAAAAGCATTAACATTATCGAGCTAGAAACATTGAAATCGCAAGATAAAAAGCCTGCCGGAAACCGAAACCATATACCCTTGTAATAAGTAATAACTAACAAGTAATAAGAAAGGTAACATTTTTCATCTAGTACTCAACTTAACATTATCGAGCTAGAAATGTCGAAATCACAAGAGACAAAGATACGGCCGGCTGAAAAACCAAAATCATATCCTTTAATTGTTACTAAATCTAACAGCAGTATTAGCAACCCGAACAAGAGGCCAAAGAACAGGCCAATTGCTAGACCTGTTAAGCAAATAATACAGATAATTTGACCACGGAACATTTCATCAAACAGGTGGTGGGCATCCCGAAAAAAACCTTTACCGAAATCAGATATGTACCGAAAAAGAATCCACTATACGCTAAAGAAATTTAAGAACAGCTCAATTCCAAGATTTGAAAGGATAAGCCTCTAAAAATACACTGAAGCAAATTCTAAACCTTATCGCACGAGAATTTTGGGCACTGCTTTATCCAAACACGTGCATAGATAATAAATATATACGTATATTCAAAATAGTTACCTGGAATGCTTTCGCAGATGAAATGTATGGAGCGAGACATGCTTGAAAACTGCAGAGGAGATTCTTCAATGGCGGTCTTGAACCAAAAAACAAACAGTGGGGTTTTTCAGTTTTCAGTACTTGGGGTTGTGCTTGTGCATGCGCAGGGTATAGGTGGGTTATTGGCTTGTGACCGCCATTTCAGTGATTTGAGCTCAAAAGATCATTTGGGCCCATTATTAGTTTGGTCCAACTCATCCCATCTTTCTTTTATCAAATAATCAGCCCAATTACACATTTTTTTTTTTTTAAATAATAGTCGAAATCTCATTTGATAAATGAGTACCATTCTATACACTAGATGATACCCAAAATTGAAGGAATAAAACGTGATTTGGTTCGATTCCAGGTCACGTCTGGCAGATCCTCGCGTGGGCATTGTGTGTCAAGAAAAGTCGTTAGGGCGGGCGGGTCTTGGTTCCGACGAAAACTTCCCGACCCTCAAGTCGCCTCTATATGATTGAAGAATTCAGAGAATTCAACAGATTGATCGGGAGATATGAATTGCGTACATTTGATTTTGAGTGTTCCGGATATTTATTCTCATGTGCTTAAATCTCTTAACATGGACCAACTTGGATCAGACTATTGAGATTATAGCCAACTTGGACTTGTATTATTATCCACAATCAACTTAAGCTTTATTTGTGTGCCTCTATGGGTTTGTCGATATGGGGGCATGAGCCCATCATAAGCCTCCGCTCGGTCGGGTCTAGAGTAGCGAGAGTTGATGGAGAGTATGTAGTGTGTTTAGTCATGTTTGGGAATTTTGTGATTTGGTTAGTCGATTTGACAGTTCATGGTGGAAACAACTTGACGATTTCACAATGCCATTAACAAATTGCCAGTCCGTGAGATGGTGAGTTGCTCAACAATTAGTATAATGGCGGTTGCATTCCAGTGACAAGTAAGTAACTCGTGAGATAGTGGGCAACTCAACGATTAGTAGAAATTATCATTGATGACTTGCCCTGCCATTGGCAAGTAGGCAGCTCATGAGGTCTTAGGCGGCTCAACGATTAATAGAAATGATGGTTGACGGCTCGACATATTGTTGGCAAGTAGATAGTTCATGAAGTCGTCGGCGGCTCGACAATTAGTAGAAATGACAGATGACCGCTTCATCTGCCATTTGCAAGTAGGTAGCTCATGATGTCATGGGTGGTTCAATAATTAGTAGATATGAAAGTTGACGGCTTTCTCTACCATTGGCAAGTAGGCTACTCATGAGGTCGTGGGAGACTCAACGATTAGTAGAAATGACAATAGACGAGTCTCCAGCTTGTGATACCGTGAGCGGCTCAATGATTGTTTTTTTTATACAACTCGTCAAACCATTTTCAAGTTGGCGGCTTTTGAGGAATCGTGCTTCTATGCGCAATTTGTGGTGTCGACGGATCGACGATTGATTTGAATTGTATAAGAAGGTGTCACCTTGGGATGGCACGCAGTAATAGAGAGGGTCGTGCGTTCTTGTATTGACAATGGAGAGGTATTGTGGATTGTTGGGTCCTCGACGGATTGGCGTGATGGTGGTTAGGGAGGGCCAAGTCGTATAAGAAGTAGTGAGCAGACAATTGAGGGGAGCAATATTCTCAATGAAGAAGCACTAGATTGGGTGTGCAAGGTCTTTGATTGGGTCAATTGGAGACAAACTACAGGGTGCCATCTCAAAGTGTGTCAAGTTCTTAACTTAGCCATAAGGGGACGGACCGCGGGGTGCTAGCTCAGACTCTACCGACTTGGGGTGAGACACTCAAGGGGTATCGTGTTGGAAAAAGATTGCCATGCCATCTTTGAAAGAGACTACTAACTCGAGGTAACGTCTTTGAAGGAGATGGTCATATCGTCTTGGAAGACGATATCCAATTTGGGGCTAGCCGTGGTAGCCTAGAAGGTGTTGACTTATATTGAAAGTTGTCAATTGCGAGGGGATAGATTTGTAGGATGCGACCTGCAAAATGGCAATTTACGAGGTTGTGAGTTTCGGGACGTTAGTTATTTTGCCCGAGAGGTGTCATCTTGGACGGAGACTGTAAATTGGAGGTATCAACTTTCTACCTTTACAAATTGACGATTGTGAGATGCAATTCCAAGATGTCGATTTTGCATCGGATCTAGAGGTAAACAACTCGTATTGTAACCATTCAGGAAATGACAGATTGTAGTATGCCGAATCAAGAGGTGCCGTTGGTGATGACAATTCAAAATATGCCATCTTAGCTGATGATATTTCAAAAGGTGTATATTGGGTGATGACTATTTAAAAGGTGGCAGCTTCGGTGATGACAAAAGTATAGCTCCGGATGAAATCTTGGGTGATGACAATTCAAAAGCTGTCTCTTTGAATTATGACAATTCAAAAGGTGTCGCCTTGGGTATGGCAATTCAAAATGAGCCATATGAGATAATGGTTGTTTAAAAGATGTCATCTTGGGCAGTGACAACGGTTTTGGATGATGATAGCTCAAAAAGTGTCAGCTTCGATTACATTAGTTCAAACAATACCGCAATGGGAGATGATAGCTCAAAAGAGGCCGCCATCGGGATAACACTTCAAAAGGTGGACGATGATGATATTTCGAAAGATGCCGCATGTGAGATGATCGTTCACAAAGTGTCGACCTCAGTGCTGACAAATTGAAAAACACCAGCTTTGAAAAACAATGCCGTAATTAACCATATATCATAATTCCTATATGATGTTTTGCAAGGTGGTGGCTCGCAAAACTACAAATTCCAAGATGGCGTTTTCGGGCCACGTCAGCGTGTAGGTTGCTTTGTGGATGGTAGCTTGAGTAATGACAAGTTAAAAGGTGTCAATCTTAAAAAGAGATGACAAATATAGAATGGTTACAATGCATAAAGAAGTTGCTTAGTGAAGAGTCAGCAGTGGCCAGATGGTGTGCATCGAAGAGACGTCACATATTCGGACCGAGGAGTCACCATTTGAGGACTCGTCGATGGGATCAAGGACTCTTCACAAGTTTGAGTTGACACTCATCCGTGATGGACTATTGACCTTTTCAAGAATAAACATGATGTATACACCAAGTTCGAGGTTGAGCCTATAGTCTTTCTATCAACTTTTCTGGAGTGTTTGGCTTCGTTTGAGGCTCCTTCCTTCAGTACAGTAGGGAGAATACTACCAAGTGATCATTGGTGATTCGCGGGTTGAAAGGATAGGCAAGAGGTGGCATCTAATTGTTTCTAGCTCCATTGTGTGCATTTTGAAATAATATATATTTTCTTCTTCCACCATTGCCAACCTCACATGTTCTCCATAAGCGGAATTTCATTTTCAATGACTACGTAATGTTTTTCCAGACGGCGCTAAAATGATGTGGTTCGATTCTACGTCAAGTCTGACAATTCCTCCCTCGCTTCTTGATTCCTCGTGTGGGCAATATATGCGTCACAAAAAAATCAATAGGGCGTTGGCCGGGGCTTGGTCCTGGCTAAAATCCCTCTAACACTCAAGTCAACTCTATATGATAAAAAAAATCAGATAATTCAAGAGACTGCTCGAGAGTTCAGAACTATGTAACTTTGATTGTAAGGGTTGCGGGTATTTATATAGAGAAACATATTCTCATGGAACATAAACCTCTTAACATGAGCTTGACTATTTAGATTATCGACAACGTCGGCCTTAGTCAACTTGTACTTGTATTATTATCTTCAGTCAACTTGATAGGTGTGCCTCTATGAACTTATCAATATGGGTCATTGGGCAATGGTCCATCAAAACAGAAATTGTATCAAAACATTTCTTCTATCTTTATCAAATTTGTTATTAAACTCTAATTATTTCAATGATGAATTTTAAATGGATTGCATTAATTTTTTTTTGTCATCACCATCAAATTCCAAAGTGAGCAAGGATGGACTCTATTTGTAGGAAATCTCCCCTAAAAACAAAACACTATTAGTAGGAAATTGCGGTATCAAAAAACCTGGTGTTCAATTTTACGTGTCAATACTTATTAGATCAAACTCGTCCAAAGACCTTATCGAGTGTTGGTAACCTAACTAGTATTTGTGACTTTGTGGCCGACTACTATACAGAAACAATCGAGGTTGATTCCATAGCGTCAGAGACGTGCTATTTCCACCTTCAAAATATCTTATTTCACCACCAAATTAACTATATTTCCCATTTTACCCATTTCTTCTTCTTTCACTTATATTTTTTACAAGTTTATAAACCGTCCACCACTAAGCTAATTAAAATATTTATAAAAAAAAAAAAAAAAACCCCACCATTTTCACTGGAATCTTTACTGCAAAATCTCACCCTCTCCACCTTAAGTGAATAATACTTTCGTCGGAAAAAAAACATTTTCGAACGTAAAAAAGAGGAGAAATTCACATTCTTGAAGATATAAATTAAAAGTACTTGTACGGAAGGCCCTGAAGTTCCTCAGTTTGACTTAATACAATTTCGTTTCCTAAAAAAGTTACATAATAGAAGTTTAAATATCTTGCAATAATTTCATTGCAAAAAGAATAAAAAATAAATAATATAAAATATAAAATAAAATAAAATAAAATAAAATAAAATATAAATAACTTAGAACATATAAAGATTAAACGAATATAATGAATGATGGTGAATTATAAATTTGAGGGGTATTTATGATATTTTATGTATCTTTGGTGGTGATTGTAAATTGAGATACGTTGGAGGTGGAAATAGCACCACTCTAGTTTTATTATAGGAAAGAAGTCAAATCCAAATTAGGCAAAAGCCATTTTCAACACAAAAGCTGCACTAACAAGAGAAAATTCCCTTGAAGCAAAGCCAGAAAGTTTACTTCCAATTAAATCCACAGCAATAAAATTACAAATGAAGCAACTTTTATCCAGACACAACATTAAATCACCGCTTATTGAAATTTCAACGAGAAACCCGGAAAGAAAAAAAAAATCCTTGCCCAAAAAGGATTCGACACTTATTTCTAAACTTTGTGATTCTGTGTCATTTCATCGACATCAAGTTCCATTGCTAGAACGGGCGAGTCCTCCTCCACGCTTATATGGCTGAAAATGCACCACTTACCGTCAATCCCAAATATAAATAAATAAAAGGAATCACTGATGCAATATAAAATTATTCGCGGACTATATATAATTCAGATAACGTAAAATAGCTAACCTGTTATTTATAGGTCCGTGATCCACGGCATTCTTTAGGCAATATATGACTCTGCCGATTATGTCTGTCATAGTAACTGGACCAAATGTTCGACTATCATAGCATTCCTGATACACATAAAGCCAATAAAATACCCGCATCAATATCCGACTGTTACTCTAAATGAGATAATCTAAATGGACCGTCGTTTTGGAGTTTTTTTTTTGTGTGTGTGTGCGTGTGTGTGTTTCCATATTATCTGTCACTTTCGAATTTATTGATGGTTTGCACAAAGATCAAGAAACCATCCATAATATTAAAAGAAGATGATTCCTTGTACCCAAAATCATCACTGCCGTACGTAGCTCCAAGAAATCAAATAATAGAATCTAAAAAAAAAAAAATCATTGAAGAAGCACATACATACCTTGGGTTTTAAATCTTCATTGTCAGCGAGTACCCAGCACTGATTATTTTCGAGGACAAAAGGTTCTTCATCTTTATCAGTAGAAGCCAACTCGTATCCTTCAACAGCTGCTAATCTTCGGACAAGATACTTGTCCGTGTCTGTAGGGTCCTTCAGTACTACCACATCTCCGACATAAACTTTCCTGTCACAAACAAACACATACATGCAATCATTTGTTCAAAACAGAAACATAACGTATAATTAAGATAATCAATAATCAAGCCAAGCATTAGACAAGACAATTCCGCACAATCAGCACAGATTCCAAGTATAATCATTTTCTTCTACACATGTACAATGAAACCATAACTTGATCAGAAAATTGTGTTTTGTTCATTCCGTGAAATTTACATGAAACAACAAAATTAGATGACTATAGGCAATCTTAATCAGGCCTCGCTGAATGTAACAGGTTACAAAAGCAACCTTATTGACTTGCTTCCATAGTAATACATACATGAATAAAATGATCTAACTAACTAAATTTATGTTAATAAAAAACGTACAATCAGGCAGAAACGATAAACATTAGAATTCAACTACCATATTTGAGACAATTAGAATTTTATTCTAACATGAAAAAGGGTGGTCGTGTCGCTCAAACTCATCTCATGAAGAGTTTCTAAGACCATATCTATCTATTCTTCGACATTCTATAAGCAGTTATGACACAGAATGCAGATAAAGACAACTATTTTCCGCTGCGAGAACTGCAAAAGAAATATAGACCAATCCCGTATTTATTATCTCAAAAAAGGACCCGAAACAAAGTCGTATATCATCTTTAAAGCAGTTTGAATTCATTGTCAATGCCACTGAAGAATTATAGCATATTGAATAAAATTACGTTGGATCTGCAGCTGGAATCTTCCGAACAAGAAGAGTACCACCGTTAGTCCCAATTGTGGGGGCCATCTCTTCTCCTTTGTTTGAATGCAAGAAAGTCAACTTTCCTATGAAAATAGTTTTCAATATGGTATCAAGTCCTCCGTTTTTCATTAGTTGGCCTGGTCCATATGTCTGCAACCATATACGAAAGATTTAATCAGTAAAACCACGATGAAGAAAATAGCAATCATGCAGTATATGGACAATATAACAGAATCGAAAACTCCGGATTATCCAGTTAAAAACAAATAGAAGGAACTAGTTAGGAGACGGAGAATATTGAGTTGAACATCTATGCGTAGGAATTGAATGAGCTGTTACAAGAGTAAGAACTTTTAAAAATGATAGCTTTTGATTTAACAGTTCTCCCGAAAAAAATAATTCATTAATGGATTAAACATTTTTTTAAATATTCGCAAAGGAGTCGTTGATCAAAAGCATGAAAGTTTCATATATAAGACTCAAAGGAACCAAAAAGTTGATGACAGATATTCTTCCACGTCTTAAAGGTAAGGCCTACAGCCCAAACGGGATGCAAAAACAACCCTCCAGAATGCGCTGTTGCCATCACCGGAAGTTTCATTACAGCGAGATCCCATAATTAACATTTCATGAAGTTTATTCATAAACGCAAAATTATGATTGCCACACTTTTAACATGAAGATTGTTCAAATTATTTCGACTACTTTTTCCCAGCATGTTGAAATAATTAATAATCTATAGGAGGATGCCATGCCTATTTGACGTTTGCTCAGCATTAGATCCTCCAACCAACACCTTTAATCCCTAATATAATCCAACTTCTCTCACTCTCCAACCACATTCATATAGATCATTCCTCAAATTTCACATTCATCGTGCAATAACCCTCTCACCTGATCTAGAACCCCCAATAAAGTAAAAATATGTCTTCTGGGTTTTATTCATGCGCGAAACCCTAGCAGGAAATTAAATTATCGGCAGTGTAGGAAAACATAACCTAGATTTTCGATGATAAGATATCAAGAGCTAGAAAACCCCCAATCTTCAGATAATTCAAATAAAACCACCAATCCTTGCACATATAACCTAATTAAACGCCCCGATTAAACAGAACCAACAACCATCAATTGAAACTCACGGGAAAAGGGAAAAAAAACAATTTAAAATTCCAAATATGATCATACGAACTACGAAAAAACATAAACTCGTGAACAGAAAGCGGGTCGGGTCGGGCCGGGCCGGTTACCTTACGACTGAGAGAAACGGAGTATTGGAGTTTGGTGGCAATATAACGGGCCCAGATTGCGGGAGAACCCATCGCAGCTGGATTTCGTCTGGGGATTACAGAGTTGGGTGAATCAGTGTTTCGGTTTCTACTTTGTAGTCAGCATCTCTCTCTCATAAAACCCTCGAATTATTTCCATTTAATTTTGAGCTTCTCCCGTATTTTATTTCTTTTCCTAATATTTACATTTTATAATTAATAATTAACAATCAATATGCAAATAAGATACACATTTTTTAATTAACATATTAATAAAATATTTATTTCAAAAATAAGTATTTTTTAATTTCAACAAATTTCAAGATAAAAAAAATAAAAGCAATTATTATAAAATATGCCCACAATTTCTTTGAATTCTCAAATCATAATAAGTAAACACAAAGTATGAATAAAATAGTTTTACTTCCACATTCAGATAAATTTCTATAAATTAATATAGTCGGGACTATCGAAATTCTATTAATTTAGCGAAATGTTAAATTATCGAATTAATAATTTAGTAGGTTTTTACCGAATTGGAACCAGAAAAAACTATTATTTAAGCGGGGTTATCACATTTCTTTGATATTAAATTATGAGCTTTAATCGAGTCGGACACGAATCAAGTTTGGGTAGCTTGAATTTTGTACTGTTTATTATTTTTTTTTCTAATTGGGCTCGAGTTCGAATCGAGCTTCATAGTTTTTTGAACGAAAGTAAGTATGTGTTCATGATTAATTTGTTATGCTAACAACCATAACTAAAATAAACTTTAAAAAAACGATCTCGAATGGAGTATCGAGTTTGATTTCCAACTATATACATTTGCCTACAATCAAATACTATAAATCAATACATTTTACATAAATAATCACATGTATTTAACACATTACTCATATAATACACCAAAGTGTAGCTTCTACACCAATTTTGACCAAAATAATAATTCAATTTGTTTCTCAACAAAACCACGCCGAGTCTCAACTCTCAACTACTTCCCCATAAAGAATTAATGATAAATTACACATGCATCCCTAAAATATATTAAAATAACTTTAAAGTCCTTGTAGTATCGATAATTAAAATCGTCCCCTTGAAACATTGTTAGAAATCATAACAGAACAATATATTTAATAAGTTATTCCGTTAGGGTTCTAACAGTCTATTAGTTTTATACAATGGTCGAGACAACATAGAGCTACGGGTGACATGCTCTCCTAACCTTTCTTAAATCCTTATTATTTTATATAAGATTTATACATTTTCGTCTATGGTAACATAAACAGCTTCGCGACCAACAAATATAGTGCATATCGGTCCTCAAGACAAGAAATCTTGATTCCACTAATTGGTTTAGGGGTGTGACTGTAATAACCAATATCATAGTGACTTTAAAGCTATTTTAGCATACCTCAGGAACAGGAACGTAGATGTAATTTACCATGATAAATAATAATAGGGATTATTTTGTAGACCCCTCATTTACAAATTATATAGAACTAACTACCAAGTGGATTACACTCTAGGGGAAACCCCCCTCATTTCGAAAATATTTTGACATACCCCCTGGGCCACCCTGAAGTTCCTATAATACCCTTCTAAAATCAGTTTTAAACCCTAGCCACTCACATTTCGGTCTCTCTCTTCTTCTCCCAGATTCAAAATCCCGCATCCACAAACCTCCCACCGGCGAAATTACTTCCCAAAGCCATAACTCTCTCTCCGGTGGTCGGAATTCGATGGTTTAACTACCGTTGGATTCCTCTCGTCGAGCTCTTTCTTTTGGTGGTGATTTCATTCAGTTTCGAGCGCTGATCTGTTTCTGCAATTTTCTTTTATTCGACGACGGTGGTCTTGCCGGAGCTTTGTTTTGTGTTCCACCCGTCGAAATTTGACGGGCCACCCACCGTTGGATTCCTCTCGTCGGGATCTATACTTTGATGGTAATTTCGTTTATTTTTATGTTTTCAGATTTATTTCTTTATTTTTTTGCATTTGTGGGCGCGCAGAACCGTGGTGGTTATTAGCAGCGTCTAGGATTTTGGTATGAGGCGATGGGGGTGAGGAGTCACTATCTGTTTGATTTAAAATCTGTAGCATTTCCCAGCAATAACCTCTCTCTCTATCTCTCGATTTCTTAGTGTTTGTTGATTTTGAGTGTTTTGATATTTCTTCAAATTTTGTTGATTTGCACTAAAGTAATTTTTTTGTTTTGATTTTGCAATTGCAGCTTAGTGAAGGTCATTGATCCTTTCCTTGAAGGTGACAATTTTTTTTTAAGTTACATCTGCTTTGTTCAACAGATGTATACATTACTGTACTGTACATTACTATACATTACTATAGTAACATGTAGTTACATATGCGTATATTTGTGTATCTTTTATTTGTATTTTATTGGTTCTAAGGTGATTTATAATAAAAATATTGAAATTTGTAAATTTTTGTTGGGTTTTTATGAATTTATTTTGTATAAGCCAGTATTCGTGTGTGTATACAATTGATCGACTAAAAATATGGGGAAAAAACAGACGAACATAACTACGAATTACTATAGGTACTATAGTTACATGTAGTTATTTTCAATACAGTAAACATATTGTTTTGAAAATTAAAAAAAAAATAAAAAAAATAAAAAAAAATAAAATAAATATATATATATAAAAATTTAACAAACGGGTTTATTATAAAAAAAAAGGAAAATAATAATAAATAAATCAGCGAAAATGATAAATGCAGGATCAGAAATTCTGAATGCAGTTTGGCCGAAAATTGCAGTTTGGCCGAAAAAAAAAGGAAAATAATAATAAATAAATCAGCGAAAATGATAAATGCAGGACCAGAAATTCTGAATGCAGTTTGGCCGAAAATTGCATATAAGGGTAGTATAGTACTTTCGCCTCTTCAGGAGTATGTCAAATGATGATTTGAGCTTGAGTTTATCGCTAGTTTATTTGGTGGGCGGGTATGTCAAAGGATAATAGTAGTAATAATAATAATAAATAAAAAAACACTTCCTCCCTCCATTCTGCAAAAAGTGCAACTCCAAAAAGTTTGACGACCAAAAACACAGAGAAAAATATTTCTCCACAGACTCGTCGCGAAAATCCAAATCTAGAAAAAAATGGAGAAACTCGATCTAGCAAAGCTGAAGCTGGCTTCATCCTCCCTGGGCGAGCGGATCAAGACGAGCGGCGCGCAGATGGGCCGCACAATCGGCTCCAAAATGAAGGAAATACTCCAAACCCCCACCCCGGAATCCAAGGTAGTCGACGAGGCCACCGACGACTCCACGGACGAGCTCAACTGGGGTCTCAGCCTCCGCATCTGCGCCATGATCGGCCGCCAGGAGTACGACGGCGCCGAGATCGTCAGAGCGATCAAGCGGAAGATCGTGCCGGGGAAGAATCCCGTCTCCCAGCGCCTCAGCCTCGATTTGCTGGAGGCCTGCACTTCCAATTGCGAGAAGGTCTTCTCAGAAGTGGCGTCGGAGAAGGTGGTCGAGGATATGGTGAAGCTGATCGACGATTCGAGGACGGCGTTCGAGGTTAGGGTTAGGGCGATGCAGCTGATCAAAGCCTGGGGCGAGTCTGAAGATCTCGCCTACTTGCCTATTTTTCGTCAAACATACATGGTTAGCCTAGCCATCAATTACTTTTTTTCTACCCCTCTGTATTTACTTTCTACAATTGCTTTATTATGCGATTTTCTGCTGGATTTTTCTGTGTTAAATCTGTTAAAAATTGAGGGATATTTATTGTATTTTCCAAATTGAATTTTCTGGAAGGTGCACTGAGGCTTAAGGCAAGTGATTGGAAATATTTCTAAAGCAGAAGCAAATATTTTTCCTGACACAGTAGATTTTATATGTGAATCACTGGTTCTCGATACGGACACTGTACTCTTGTTTCTTTCTATGCCGTTAGAATTTGATATTTCACTTAATTTGTCACTTTGTTATTCATGCAAACAGTGTTATAAACTAGTACAAGGGGAGAATGTAATTGGAATTTCTAATTTATTCGATAAGAGAATAACGACGAAATGATGGATTCACCTTCGACTCATTCGTTGCATGAATTAGTTGTGCATGATCAGTAACTGATATTTCTCCCTTTTTTGACCAAAAAATGAAGTCCACTCCTTTCGAAAGCTCTGTGCTCAGTTTCATTTCCGGAAAAAAAATAAAAAAAAATCATCCCTAGTATAGAGAATAGTAACACTTAATTCATCTTTGCCAATCTAACTCTCTGCTAATTGCGGCAGTACTTAATTTCACTTAATTTTTCACTTTCGGGTTTTCAGGGTAATAGTGTTAAACTAGTGCAAAAAGAGAATGTAATTCATGGATTCACCTTCGAGTCATTCGTTACACGACTTTGTTGTGCAGGCTCTGTAATTGACATTTCATCACTTTTCAACCAAAAAAGAAGAAGCCCAGTCCTTTTAAAAGCTATGTCCTCGATTTCATGTCCGAAAATTACGGAAAATAAAATAAAAAACAAGAATCATCCCTTGTGTAGAGAATAGTAATACTTAATTCGTTTTTGCCAATCTAACTCTGTTAATTGTGGCAGTACATGAAATCAAGAATAAGTCCAGCAGAGGAAGAAGAGAGGGTGCCGCCCTCCTCGAATTACAATCTGGAGTCTTACATTGACCAACAGCCTCTACCGCCGCCCGAAAGATACCCTATTCCCACCACTGCTTCGGAAAATGCAGAGGATCTCAGTTTCGTTAGCTATGGTTTTCAGTCCGTTGAAGAGAAAAAGGAGTTCCTTGTCGTGACTCGTAATACTCTTGATATTCTTTCCAGCATATTGAATTCTGAAACCGAACCCAAACCCCTCGAGGTAACTTTGTTTTACATTTTCTCCATATCTTAGTTGTTTTAATTACTGTGCTTGTTTTACGTGTTCTGCAGTAGTCCTGTTTTTTGCCCCCCTTTCCTCTTCTGGTGTGATGTTTGCTTTCTTGTCATATTCCAATTTCGGAACAATTTAAAGAACGAACCATAATTTTATGTGATATAATTTTGTCTTCAATGAATGATCTAGAACAGCAAGTAATATACTTTGTTCATACGATTACATTAGTTCGGATCTTATTTGAGATTCCCTCGATTTTTTTTCTCGACTGACAGATTCCCTGGATTGCATGGTATCTAAAAATCTTCCTTCTTAAGTTGAATATCCACATTTGCCTCTGTATATTCACATACACATGTTTTCTCTGTTTTGTATAAGAGTTAATATTTATTACACTTTTGCCCCCTCCCTCTTTTATGTGATGTTTGCTTTCTTGTCTTCTTATTCTTCTGTCTATATTCGCATACACATGTTTGTTGATTATGCAAACGCAGGCATCTCTTTTCGGGTCACTTCCATTTCAAACGATCTTTATCCTTTTTCAAACAAAAAAGCATTTACACTGCCGTAAAACAGCGTATCTTAAACTGAGCTTGTTCATTGGTACTTTTGCAGGATGAGCTAACAACGAGCATGGTGGACAAGTGCAAGCAGTCACTGCCTATTGTTCAGAGAATTATAGAAACCACGTCCGATGACGAGGCGATGCTTTTCGATGCTCTAAACATTCACGAAGAGCTTCAACAAATCATTTCAAAACACGGGGAACTGTCAGCAGCTGCCTTGGATTCAAAACTGCCCACCACAAACCATAACGCGGGTGAAGTACCGTCTAATGATTCGGATCCCAAAGAAGCTAATTTACCACAGCAGAGCGGCTGCAGTACAACGGAAAAGTCGGATCACTCTCCTGCGGTAGGGATAACTGGATCAGATAAGCCAAGTACAGAAGATGGTGCTGATAAAAACACGAGCAAAGAGTGAGCAATATTACGACTGAGCCACAAAATTTTAGCGCTGTTAGTATTGCAATTTTCTTTGTTATATATTGTGAAGTTATATGCTCTAGAAACGAACTTGAACCTCGAATTTTACACTGATGTTATATTGTAGCTGCACTTTTAGATTTTCAGTGCTGTTTGTATTCACAGCTTATATTATTTTGTAAAAGCGTGGTTAAATTGCAGAACTGCTATAGTTAATGTATGAGCATGGTAACCAAACTACCCTATACAAAATCAAAATTAAATAAAAATTATACTTGATCATGATTTTTTTTTAAGTTACCAAAACTACCCTATAATTTATTTGATATAGGTTCTCTACTGCAGAAATGATAAACTAAATATTGTCAACTAGTAGTAGATCGACTAATTTGTCGTCGTCACGAAAAATTAGTCGACCATATTAGTTGACCATATCAATCGATTATAAATACGTATGTATATATTTATGTAAATATATGGACTTCAATTGAAAAAAAAAAAATTTACCTCTAAATATGCAAGTTAGTGTGTGATATTTTTCTAACTTTCCCAAAAAAAGAAAAAAAAGGGAATATAATGAGTTATCGGTTAACGAATAAAAGAAGGGCAAATTACTAGAAATTCTGAGGTGAAGTCTAATTACAAAAATCTCCCTCATTTTTATGTAATTATAAAAACTCCCCTGAAATATGTTGCCATTTTATACAGTTGTATACTATTGACGAAACATTTTTGATTCCATGAAATATTTCTCTGAAAATGACATTTTTGCCCTCGCTGGGTAATTGTAAGCAAAACAATTACTTAGTGGGTAAATTGCAATATATTGTAATTAATTTTAGTTTTAAAACTATAATTTATTTCTTCACAAGAAAATATTCGCAAAGGGGGCAACTATTTTAAATCCCAACTTTTGCTTACTTGAATACTACCAAGTTTAAAACTAAAATTGAGTACATATTTATCAGTTTTTTCTTACTTTAATACCAAGATAAAAAGAAAAGTACAAAAACACCCTTTCATACAAAATATCAATTATATCAAATTTTTTTAGAAATTACCTATTCAAAAACCAAATAAAAAAAAAAGAAAAAAAACCCTTTGTTGTAAAAAAAAAAAAACCTTCACCATTTCTTCTCCTCTCCAACCCTCGCCGCCGCCGAACGCCACCGTACGTGCTCGTAACTGCCGCGACAACCCAATTAAACCCTATCTTTTTCATCTTCTTAAATCCTCCAAAACATCTCCAAATTCAAAAAATCAAAACCTCACAAAACTTATAAAATGGAGTTATAAGACAATAATATGGTAGTATATGTGGAAAGAGAAGCCATTAAGGTAAGTATCGATGTTTTTTTGAGCTTCGAAGTCGATTTTGAAGTTTTTTTTTTTTAACCCGTCGGCAATTTTCGACACATACAGGTCGATTTTTTGGTCAATTTTCGACACCAACGTGTCGAAAAAGAAAAAAAAAAAAACAAATTTCGACACCTACCTGTCGAAAATTCTCCAAATTTCGACAGGTATGTGTCGAAAAAATACTGTTGGTAAAACAAAAAAAAAAAAAAAATCTTTATTTGGAGGTTTTAATTTCTTTAGTTTTGAGATTTTTTAGAAGGGTTTGTTGTGAGGAAGATTTTTTAGAAGGGTTTTTGGGGAGGGAGAAGAAGGAGGTGGAGAAGGAGGGAAATGGTTTTTTTGAGTTTTTGATTATTTGGTATTTAAGAAAGAAAAATAGTATTTGTAATATTTTTTTGGTTTTAATTTCATTAAGGGTATTAAAGTAATTTACAATTAATTATTTATTATTTATTTTTTTGGTATTCAAGTAAGCAAAAGTTGGGATTTGAAATAGTGATCCCCATTCGCAAATACTCAAACATGAGGAGAATTATCAATAAAGAAAAAAAAACGAAAAAGCAAAAAAGATTCACTAAAATCGCATTTTCGAGGATCAATGAAACTACAAGTAGTACAGTAGTAATCGCTCTGATTAAACGTGCACACATTTCCATTTGCTCTCATCTCTCTCTTTGGCGCTTCCCTCACTTCAGACATGGAAATTCCTTGGTGAATTTTTCCCTCTAAAAAATCCCCGCCTCTGCCGTAAACCCCAGAGCGCATATTCCACTTATCAATTTTGAATCTCCACGCTTCTCTCCTCCACAAACTCTTCACTTTTTACCCCCAATAACTAAAAACCCCCAATTTTCGAAATCCTAGGGTTTTCGTTCCCACCAAAAATGCCGTCCCTTCCCATCTCCGGCAAAATCATCCGGCTGGAGCTGGAGAACTTCAAATCCTACAAGGGCCACCAGATCATCGGCCCCTTCTACGATTTTACGGCCATAATTGGGCCCAACGGCGCCGGGAAGTCTAATTTAATGGACGCCATAAGCTTTGTCCTCGGTGTCCGTACCGGTCAGCTGCGTGGGGCTCAGTTGCGGGACCTTATTTATGCGTTTGACGACCGTGAGAAGGAGCAGAGGGGACGTAGGGCATACGTCATGCTCGTCTACCAGCTTCCCGACGGTTCGGAGATTGAGTTCACTCGGTCTATTACTACTGCTGGTGGTAGTGAGTACAGGATTGGGGACCGCATCGTCAATTGGGATGACTACAATGCAAAGCTCAAGTCGCTTGGTATCCTTGTTAAAGCTCGGAATTTCCTCGTTTTTCAGGTTCTTATTTCTTCATTGAGTTAATTCCTTTTTTTTTTTTTGTGTGATTTTTGTTTTTAAATTGAGTTATGCTTGTGGATTTAGTGCTAAGGCAATATTGTTACAACAGTATTCGGAGTAACATGCTAAGTTTTAAAATTGAAATAAATGGGAAAAAAATGAAGAAAAGAGCCGGAGGAAAATTCCCAAATTTTTTGCTTAATGCTGAACTGGAATGATGAAAGCCGTGTTGCTACTATCAACTAAGAAATCAGAACAGGTGAACTATTAGGAGTGTTGTTCATTTAAGAGAGTGCAGGTGAGGTGGATGTAATGGTAAAATTTAAAAAATAAGTTCGTATTATTGTAGGATTAAGGCAGAAATAGTGGAAGACGATAATAACGAGATGATTCCCTAGTCACTCAAACACGAGCCCAGTTGTCTTGTATGCATGTGCTCACCGTCTGTATGGTTTACATGTATAAGTGTATTCCTCATCTACTAATATATTTAATTTTTCTTTTATCTGATTATCTTTTAACTCTGGGACAGAGAGAGGCACAACAGACATACACGCAACAATATGAACTTAAGCACGTGTGCGTTTAAACTTTAAATATATCCTATAAATTATAAGTCAATTAATTTTTCCGAGTAGAGATCATGCATATATGTGTTTCATCGCACATACAATTTACCCATGTTAATTGTAATGGGAAGTTCTAGAATAATCTGAAAGTGCTCTAGCTTCTCAATCGACGACTTGTAGAAGCACATAGGTGCAAAAAGTCTAGAATTTGATTTGAATTATGGGCTTGGTTGTGTTCTTCTACATAATGAATTCTTTTTACGACTCAGGGTGACGTGGAGTCCATTGCTTCTAAGAATCCTAAGGAACTGACAGCCCTTATTGAACAAATCTCTGGCTCTGAAGAACACAAGAGGCAGTATGAAGAACTGGAAGTACAAAAAGCCGAAGCTGATGAAAAGGCTGTGCTTGCTCATCAGAAAAAGAAAACAATTTCAGCAGAGAAAAAGCAGAAGAAGATGCAGAAAGAGGAGGCTGAAAAGCATCTCAAATTACAAGAGCAACTGGTTCGCATTATCCTTGCATTTTTATATTGTGTCTTTAATTTCACATAAATATTTTACTATTACATTTTATTGGTGATAGACCCTTTGAATAATGCGATGTTCAAGTCAATGGTTGATCATATACTTCAAGATTTAGGGGAATGTTTTTGGTTGTTCATCTAGAAGAGATGATTATAGTACTAAAATCTATTTCCCATATCACCCTGCAGAAATCTTTGAAGCAGGAACATTTTCTTTGGCAACTGTTAAACATAGAGAAAGATATTGAAAAAGCTAATGAGGACATGGATGCTGAAGACAATAGCCTGAAAGAAATTTTGCATGAATTGGATAATTATGAAGCTGAAGCAAGGAAAAAGAATAAAGAACAAGCTGGATATATGAAAGAGATTCAACAATGTCAGAGAAGGATCAAAGAGAAACAAAGTAGGCTCGATAACGTAAGATATCTCTCTTTAACTCCGTGTTTTACATGTTCTTTTGTTCTACTTAATTTTTATTCTTCTTTGCAATGATGGGTTAAGCCAAGTGTATTCAGCTGGCTTAGTTCATGCATAGAATTTGAAGTGCAGCAAGTTAACCCTACATTAATTAGGGGGTAGGGCAGAAGTTCTGGAAAAGGAGGGCGAGGGTGACGGAAAATTAGAGCAGCGTAGACTTTACGAATGCATAAAGGATTTGTCATTTATAAAGGATAGAGCCAGTGGATGCTCTCACATTTCCTATATCCATAGACCTAAAATCAACTCATACGTGAATTTTGATAGCACAATAGGCTCATTTTGAGCTCTAATGATTGGAATTTTAAAGGATGTCATTTATAATTCGTCCTTGCAATGAACTTCATCCGAAGTTAGGAGGTATTTGGAAGATACTGAATCTGGAAATTCTCTAAGGTCTATACACCCAAAGTGCCAAACAAACCAGGATTAGCCAAACTGTATCAGATTGTTTTCTAGTGGATCCAAGCCAAACTTTTGTTAAGCAATGTGTATGTGTCAGAAGTTGAAAGATCGTACTGAGTTTCTACCCGTAGATCTTGGGTTCTGGACTGACGTGACTGCAGTTTGTTGTAAAGAGTAAATTTTTGTCTTTATGTAAGTTCTGCTTCTTGTTTGGTTTCCTATTTTCTCGGTGCTGTTGCAAATAGTTATGTGATTTATGTGACTGGCACAGGTCAATAACAGTGTCTCATTTTCATGTTTTTTATGCTGCAGCAATCTGATCTTGTGAAGTTGAAGGAAGAGATAGCCCGTATCACGTCAAAAATAAAAAGTTCGAGTAAGGAGCTAAGTAAGAAAAAAGAAGAAAAGAGGAGACATGCTCAGGAGCTTGAGAAACTTGATAATGACTTGAAGGATGTGACTAAGCAACTTGAAGACCTCCGTGAAAAAAGCCAGGGTGCTGGTGGAAAGCTTCAGTTAGTTGATAGTGAATTGGAGACATATCATCAGATGTGAGTCTATTCTTTTGTTTTTTTCCCTTAACTTAGTCACTCATCTCATTTCTTGTCTAACGGTTTCTAAAGACACCTTAGATTCTAATTGCAAGTCTTTTGCAGTAAAGAGGAGGCCGGGATGAAAACTGCAAAACTAAACGATGAGAAAGAGGTTTTAGACAGGCAACAAAACGCTGATACTGAAACAAAGAAAAATTTGGAAGAAAATGTTCAACAGTTGGAAAATCGAAAGCAGGAACTAGAGTCGCAGGAGAAACAAATGCAAACCAGACTGAAGAAAATTCTTGATTCAGTCGGGAAGCATAAGGAAGATCTTACAAAAGTGCGGAAGGAACAACGTGAGATGAAAGATAAACTCGTCGATTCTAGGTTAGCCCAACTCCCATGCTCTAACATGTCACTTGCTTTGAGAATCATTACACTTTGAGTTACTTACTTGGCACGTTTACTCCAGGCGCAAATATGATATGTTGAAGGCAAAAATTAATGATTTAGATAATCAGCTACGGGAATTGAAGGCTGATAGAAATGAAAATGAGAGAGATGTCAGGTTGTCTGAGACAGTTAAAACCCTCAAGCGCCTCTTCCCTGGTGTCCGTGGCCGCATGACTGAACTCTGTAGGACAACACAAAAGAAGTATAACCTTGCTGTCACTGTTGCTATGGGTAGATTCATGGATGCGGTAGTAGTGGAGGATGACCATACAGGAAAGGAATGCATCAAGGTAAATTTAATGATCTTAAGAGATTATTATAGTTGTGTCAGTTTTAGTAATGGTCTCTCTGTACTTCTGTTTTCTAGATAGTGAATAAAATGTAATTGACTGGACTCATTCTTATAATTAAAACCTAAGACTCATGTGCCGCTTATATTATATGGAAATTGTTGACTGTTTACAAAATTCATGCAGCTTTACTAGATTTTCTGAGTCATATAAGCCAGGTTTATAGAAAAGCTTTATCTGTATTGAGCTTAATGTTCGTGTGTTTTTCCAGTTTGTTAGCGTATCATATACTTGAACAGCCTAATAAATTTTTACAAAACTTATGTTGACTCAATTAAGAGTTGTATCTCTTTTTGCATCCTTCTGTACTGAACTTCTGTATGGAGGCGCAAGTCCTGAATGATTTATATGGATTGCCAAGCTCACAACTTTATTTGACAAATTTCCAGCTGATAGCCCCTGATCATTTTATATGGATTGCATCCTTTGATGTCTTTTTTCCTATAAAAAACATCTCGCAATTATAAATTCTTGAAATTTAAGTTCTGGAAATAACCAGCCACCTTTGGCTGAACATGTCTATAAAGTTCACTGTTGGTGCAATTTTATATATTATGCTAATGCTGTGTATCATCTATACGTTCAACTTGTGGTAGTAAATTCTCCTTTTCTTTTGAATACAAGACTGACCAAAATCAATATTTTTTAAATGAAGTTTGGGTTTTATTAAGCTGTTACAATTGTTTTAGCTGAAAATATTTGTTTGTTTTATTTACAGTATTCTTAATTAATGTTTAAATGGGTTACTTGTCTGTGACTGGCCCGTTTGTTTGCTTGCAGTATTTGAAAGAACAGAGGCTGCCCCCACAGACATTTATACCTCTTCAGTCAGTGCGTGTGAAGCCAGTAACAGAGAGGTTGCGCACCTTGGGGGGAACTGCAAAACTGGTGTTTGATGTCATAGAGTATCCTATACTAGAGTTTTTCCATTCAGTTATTTTGTTCATTATATGCAACAATAAGAGAATTAAAACTATGTTTTACCTGATTTTGAGATTTATATCCAAGTGAATATTACATTGGGACTACTTCTTAAGCACAATATGTCATACTGCATACACGATATTTCATTGAGCCTTATGTATTTCATTCATAGACCATTTCTTTATCACTGGTTCTATTTTTATCTTCTCCATATCAATAAATTAGATACCTTGACATATGTTGGTAAAAGCATTTTTTTAACTTTTTGTTTCAGATAGTTCCTCTTTGCACTGTAAATATCATCTCACTGAACTAGTTATTATATTATATGATTTTGTGTATCATGTAATTCTGTCTCGGTGTTTGAGTTTTCAGAGCCTTTATAAAGATGGTAGTTATGTGACTTCTTTGTTTTATTATTTCATGCATTTGATCTTATGTCGGAGATGTAGATGCAGTTGAGACATCTAGCTATGCTATCGGATAATCAGACACAGATATCACAGAATAGATGAGCTAAATATTTTGTATATAACTTAGTGGTAAGTGGAAGGTTTAGAATGCTGGCTTCCTTTCATGCCCACCTATTCATCCTTGAGCTTCAGTGGTTAAAATGTTAAAGAAAAGCGTCTTATTGGTGTAGGTTAATTTTCTGCAATGTTGTTATTTTTGTTTATTCCTTGATGACAACAGATTCGATCGTGTGCTCGAAAAAGCTGTTGTTTTTGCTGTTGGAAATACCTTAGTTTGTGATGATCTCAATGAAGCTAAGCGCCTTAGCTGGAGTGGGCAGAGATTCAAAGGTATAATACTTGATCTATCTCTATAGATGCTGAGCTGACTGATAGGATTTATCTTTCTCCTATTATTTTGAGACAGTTGTGACTACTGATGGGATCTTATTGACTAAATCTGGTACAATGACTGGTGGCACAAGTGGCGGAATGGAAGCACGTTCACACAAATGGGATGACAAGAAAGTTGAAGGTTAGTGGAGTTGAATTCTAGGTGTTGCACTTGCTTTCTGTATGCAACTGATTTTGTTATTTAATGCTACAAATATTACCTTTAACAGGTCTTAAAAGGAAAAAAGAAGATCTGGAGGTCGAATTGGAAGAGCTTGGTTCAATAAGGGAAATGCAGCTTAAGGAATCCGAAGCGTCTGGAAAAATTAGTGGCCTTGAAAAGAAGATTCAGTATACAGAAATTGAGAAGGTTAGTACTATTTCTTTTATTATGGAGTTTTCTGCATGCTGTTTTATATTCACAAATTTAGAATTGGGTTTTCAACAAAATAATACTTCTTTAGTTATTTATTGCATAGTGTAAAATGATATATCGGACTTCCTACTTTGTGGTCCTTCTCTTTGTGTTCGTTGGATGCTGCATCATATGATTTTATCATTGAAAATCTTTTGCAGAAAAGTATTGAAGATAAACTGAACAAATTAAAGGTGGAGAAGCGAAATATTGAGGATGAAATTGGCCGTGTCAAGCCTGAAGTTCAAAAGGTGCTTTTTGGCCTTTCATATGTCTATTTCCTGTTCATCAAGTACCTATATATTTCTTGGTTTTCTTGCAGTTGGTAAATGTTATCACCACGAGGGCATCAAAGATCCTGTCATTAGAGCAGAGGATCAATGATATTGTCGACCGAGTCTACAAGAAATTTAGCGAGTCTGTTGGCGTAAAAAATATTCGTGAATACGAAGAAAGCCATCTCAAGGCTATTGAGCAGATAGCTGCAGAAAGATTTAACTTGCATAAGCAGCAATCGAAGCTCAAATATCAGTATGTATATGCCTTTCCATCTGTAGATTCTGAGATACTGTTTTATAAGCATGTCAATTGGATTTGGAAGTTCATTCCATCTATGACCTTAATTTCCATGAACTTTCTATTTTGTTGCCTGCGCTATTGCAAATGAAAATTGCTCCTTTCCCTACTCTTTGTGGACTGCTCTAGTTTGCCTTTAACTAGAGAGATACATTTAGTGCTCCATGTTAACTTTGAACTCTTTCTGACTGTTGACGCATTCTTAAAATTCATGGAACCCGCAACTGTGTGGCAGTAATTTCATTTATTTTTGTAATCTTTCTGAGAGGCCTTCTTTTGTTCTGGCTTTCCTTTGTTCCACTGCTTGCTAATGTTGAACTTATGGCCTATAGAAGGGACTTTATTTAGATTAAGAGACATTGGGATGTAAAATGGTGATCTCTTTATTAAAGGAAATATAAGAACACAATCTTGAAGCAAAAACCATTGTAGTTCTATATTGAGTTGTTATCCAGATCGCCTGAGTAGTCCCATTGAGCTATGATTTAGTCCCTGAAAACCATCCTCTATCTAGCCTTCCATTTTCTCTAGTTAAAGGGAGTATTTGCCTGGAAAGCCGGGGCTGAATTTGTTGACCTAATAAATAGCCTATCAATCATAATTAAGCAATTACCTGGATTAGATTTAAAGTGTACAAATTGACAAAGGCAAAGATGGGAAAAACTGAATCAATGTTATGCTATGGGTATAACATCCTAATTCCTTGTTAAACTGAAATATAGTATGATAAAGGGATCCTTTCAAACTTATCCTTATATCCTTTTCATGTGGCTAGGTTGGAGTATGAAAAAAAACTAGACGTGGGTGCACGTATTACCAAGCTGGAATCAACAGTTCTTAACTTGAAAAAAAATCTGAAAGAAGTTGAAGAAAAGCAGCATAAATTGAAATCAGCAACGGAGACAGCAAATTCTGAGATTGGAGATTTAAATGAAGAAGTGCAGGGTACTTTAATTTTCTCATTGTGTTTTATATGTTTGTCATTTCATTAAAGCCTTAAACTGATGGCACCAAAAGCCGTGTATGGTGTGTTATTATAGTGATCAACTTGAGAACTGTTCAAGTTCATTTCTCTTTTTATTAGATTGGAAGGCCAAAGCAGAGGAGTGCGAAAAGGATATTCAGGTATGGAAGAAAAAAATCTCTGCTGCTACATCAAATATCACCAAGCACAATCGGCAAATTAAGTCTAAGGTTAGTCGTAAAGGGTGATTTTCTTTAAAAAACGCGTGGGAACTATTGGATTATCTTCTTACATTATCTTTAGAAGGAGCTAATAATGAAGTTACATTGCTGTGAAAATTTACAGGAGACTCTGATAGAGCAGCTTACTCAGCGGAAGCAAGAAATAGTGGAGAAGTGTGAACTAGAACAGATAGACCTTCCGACAGTTTCCGACCCTATGGAGACTGAATCCTCTTCCCAGGGACCAGTTTTTGATTTTAGTTCGCTGAATAGATCGCTTCAGCAGAAGTCAAAACCGTCTGAAAGGGATAAGATTGAAGCAGAATTCACACAGAAAATAGCTTCCTTGATGTCTGAAATTGCAAGAACTGCCCCAAATATGAAGGCACTGGATCAGTATGACGCAGTATTGGAAAAGGAAAAAGCCGCGTCCAAAGAATGGGAAGCAGCTAGAGATGAACAGAACAGAGTAACTGCTGAATACAACAAAGTCAAGCAGATGAGGTACTACATGAAATTCTACAAAACAGCTTTCATATTGTCGCAAATAACCTAACTAGAACTACACACGATAATTAATTAAGTATTATACGTCCATGACATGCATTGTCCTTATTGGACCAGATTATGATACTGGATTTTGTTGTAACCTGTGTTTGATGAGGGAAGTTCTTCCCGTACGTCACCGTTTTGGCAAGGGGGCAGTCCATCACATCCGATTACTTTCTAATAGTGGCAGTTGACTCTCGATATTGAACCTAAGAATTTCCTGATATCGAGTATTCTCCTTGTAGACACGCTACAATATTGAGCGGCGTTGGTCATGGCTTAAACGATATTTTAGATGCTCATAAAGGTGCATTTATAGGAACTAGAAACCTTAACAATTAAAACGTGATAGGTTGAAATCTTTCTTTTAACTCGTGGAAAGAGTTTTGAAGAACATGCCTACAGTGTACATCTAGGAATTTTCTCTAGGCTGTTTGAGACAACAAAAACTTCAAAAGCTTTTATTACTGTTCTTTTGGTTCTTTGCATACTTAAATGGTCTTCGCTGCCTTTTTTTTATCGAAGACGAGAATGCTTCAGTGTTGTGTACTGTGATGGTTCTGTGCATTTGGTCCAAATGCAGCCATATCATAAATTGCTTTTTTGACATTTTAATTTGTCTGCGCGTGGGGTTCATGTACTACATCTTCTGTTAATGATCTTCCAGCCTTCCAAAGGCATTTTCTTCCTGTTGGTTTTACTCCAGTACCAAATCAATAATATATAGTGTCTTAGAATTCTTCAACTTAATGCCACTTGCTGATTTTCATGTTGGATCCAGGCATGAACTATTTATGGATGCTTTTAATCACATCTCCAGTAACATAAACAAAATATACAACGAACTGACAAAGAGCAATACACAATCGGTGGGTGGGATTAGCAGTACCCATGCAGTGGGTGGAACAGCACATCTGAACTTGGAAAACCCCGACGAGCCATATCTATATGGCATCAAGTACAGTGCCATGCCACCTACTAAGCGATATCGAGATATGCCACAGCTATCTGGTGGTGAAAAAACTGTTGCTGCACTTGCACTGCTCTTCTCTATCCACAGGTTATATACACAAAGCAAAATTAACTACTATTTTGTCTGTTTGTACTTCAATTATTTGTGATGTTTTTGATACTCAATGGGTGAATGAAATTGTAGTTTTAGGAGATTTATTTTGAGGTAACTTACTACTCACCTTATTAGGCGCTAACTAATTTATTTATTTCCATAAAATGTGGGATTCGCAGTTTCAAGCCCTCACCATTTTTTATACTGGACGAAGTGGATGCTGCATTGGATAATTTAAACGTTGCAAAAGTTGCTAGCTTTATCCAATCGAAATCTTGTGGAGGGGCAAGGTTGGAACGGGATGTTGAAATGGGGTCCGGGTTCCAGAGCATTGTGATATCTCTCAAGGATAATTTCTACGACAAAGCTGAAGCTTTGGTTGGTGTTTATCGCGATTCTGACAAAGGGTGAGAAAATCTATCTTAATGTTGCATTGTTCCATTCATTTGATTTCTTCAGTTACGCTGACTGTGAAGTTGACCCGTTTATCTTCCAGGTGCTCGAGGACATTGACCTTTGACTTGACAAAGTACCGCGAGTCATGAGAGAGGCTCAAATCAGGACTATTGGAAATGTGTATGTATTAGGGAAATAACTGAGATTTCAGTATTAAGTAAAATGTACATGATCAGGAAATTTGTTAAGAGTGAGTAGCTTAAATAATTAACAGGTAGGTGTATTTGATTTTATAATCTTCCACAAAACCTCGTTATTATCGATCAATCTAACGGAAAATAACAGTTTGCAGTTAAATTTATCGTCTTGAATGTCTTTTAAGTTTTTATTTTTCGACGACAATTTATTGTTAGGATGCAAATTTTAATTGAATTATTCCAATTCTGTCAATTTTGATTTGAAATATTCGCTTTCATTCTATTTTTGAAATTTTAATTCTCAAATTTCAAGAAGAAAAAAATATTTAGATCGGAATCGGAAGTACATATAAAGTTACTTGAAAATTTGATTTCTTATTTAATTTTAATTTCTAAGGATATTTCCTGATTTGTTTTTTAAAATTACATTTATAATTAATATTACTATATATTCACATAGAGAGGTGGAGATCGGAATAGACTTTCCGAATTCTCTTAATTCCGATCCGTAAATAATATTCAAATTTTGAAATGTATTTTTCATTTCGATTTCCGAAGTTCTCATTTTTGATTCATCCGAATTTGGTTAGAACAGAAATTAGAACCCATTTTTTACTTTTAAATTTATTTTTGGAAATTTTCCGAAAAAACCATTTTCGATCTAATATGAATGGTTTTTTGAAAGCTGATACGATAAGTATCTAAACATAACAACAAAAACATATAAATAAAAATAAATAAAAAAGATAAATAAATACATGGACGCAGAATCCCTAGTGAAATAGAGAGAGAAAAACGCAGTGGTTATAAAATGATGAGAAGAAGGAAGACACCTGCCCTTGAAATAAATCATAGGTGTAAGCCATTTAGACCTAAACACACATGCACACTGCAAAATGTCAATACCCCTTCACTATGTGTCATTTCCACACAGCACAGCACACCCCTTCTTCAATCCTCCACTATAAATTATGCATTCCCCACTCGCCACTTCTCATCATCAACAATAATCACCATCCATCAATATAATGGCGATGAAGAAGCTCTTTCTCTCTCTATCCAGCTTTCTCCTCCTCTCCACCACCTTCACCTTCGCCACTCAACATCAACAGGGCTCATGGCAGCAGCAGGGCCAGTGCCACATCACCCGAATCAACGCTCAGGATCCTTCCTACCGCCTCCGCGCCGAAGGCGGTGTTTCTGAGTTCTGGAACCACAACTCCGACGAGTTCCAATGCGCCGGCGTTGCTTTCCACCGCCACACCCTCCGTTCTAAAGCCCTCATGCTCCCCGCCTATCACAACGCCCCTCTTCTCGCCTACATTCTCAAAGGTATACATATATATTACTGGTGATATATATTGCATGCATCCAGTTAATATAATTAATTAACTAATTAATTAATGAATTGCAGGTGAGGGAATATTTGGGGTGATGATTTCGGGTTGCCCCGAAACATTCGAATCATCCCAACAAACCCAACGACAATCCGAGGAGGAGGGTTCTGGCAGAAGACAGAGGTTCTTGGACCGCCACCAGAAAATTGGACAATTCCGACAGGGTGATATTCTTGCCATACCCGCCGGCGCTGCTCACTGGGCTTACAACACCGGCGACCAAGAATTCGTCGTCGTCGTTTTGCAAGACACCACCAACAACGCCAACCAACTCGACCAAAACCCCAGGGTACATAATATATATATATATATATATATATATATATATATATATATATATATATATATATATATATATATATATATATCACACAACCTATATTTAATTTGTTGATGTTCTACTGCTATATGTTGCAGTCTTTCTTCCTGGCCGGAAACCCTGGAAACCCGGGACAAGAGCAGGAGCAGAGCCACGGCAGCAGGCGCGGCGGCGGAGAACAACGTCAGCACGAGTTGGGGAATGTTTTCAGGGGATTCGATGTTCAGACACTGGCCGAGGTTTTCGGAGTTGACGAGGAGACGGCGAGGAAGCTCCAGGGCGAGAACGACGAGAGAGGGCACTTGATCATTGTCGAGAGGGGTCTTCAGGTGATCACTCCACCTCTCGCCGGAGAGGAGTACGGCCGCAGAGAGGAAGGCTACGGCGGCCGCGATAACGGCGTGGAGGAGACCATTTGCTCCGCCAAGATAAGAGAGAACATCAACAACCCATCACGCGCCGACATATACAACCCTAAAGCCGGCCGCTTGACCACCGTCAACAGCCTCACCCTCCCCATCCTCGGCTTCTTCCAGCTCAGCGCCGCCCGTGGTGTCCTTTACAGGGTACGTACCTAACCCCAATTATACATACAATATATATATATACTATACATATATATACATATATATACAGTTAATTAAACTTCTACAAATTAATACAGTCGGCACTAGATAAATTCTATTTTAATTTAGCGAACTATTAAGTTATCGAGCTGAGCACATTCTCACCGAGATCAATAGCAACTATTATTTAAGCTTGATTATTAATTTATTGATTATTAATTTACCCAGATTATACTGGGTATATATATACCCAAGATTAATTACTTGTCTATAAAAATTATAATTAAAGATTATACTGGGTATATATATACCCAAGATTAATTACTTGTCTATAAAAATTATAATTAAAATTATTAAATGGTGGTTTAATTCAGAATGCGATAATGGCGCCGCATTGGTACGTGAACGCGCACAGCATAGTGTACGTGACACGCGGCGAGGGTAGGATGCAGATAGTGAACCACAGAGGAGAGGCGGTGTTCGACGGGCAGGTGGGAGAGGGTAAGGTGGTGGTGGTGCCGCAGAATTTTGCGGTGGTGAAGCGAGCCGGAGATGAGGGATTCGAGTGGGTGGAGTTCAACACGAACGACAACGCCATGATCAACACCTTGAGCGGCCGCACCTCCGCCATGAGGGGACTACCGGCGGACGTGGTGGCGAGTGCTTACCAGATATCGAGGGAGGAGGCGGAGAGGCTCAAGTTTTCGAGGAGGGAGACGCTGTTCTTCAGCGGCAGCTCCTCCGCCGGAAGGGGAAGAGTTGCTTCTGCTTGATTAAATAAATATTAAGCAGACATTTTCATGTAATGAAATGTTGTTTTAAGGGTAATTAGGTAAATAATTAAGCTAAGTATGAGCCTACTTTGTGGCGTTTTTCTTATTCCAAGTTGATGATGATCTCTGTATGAATAAAGAGCTGAGTTTATAATAATTGCGCTACTCGGATTACTTAATTAGTACTCTCAAACAAAGGGGCAATTTTTTTTTTGGGGTTGTTTTGTTTTGGAGTTTTTAAAATGGGGTTATTTTTGAAGTAGTAATTAAATTGGTGTTGGCCGCCACCGGGAACGGCGGCATCGGACGGAGACGCCACCGCTGGTGGCGGCACCGGGAGGAGACGCCGCCACCAGTGGCGTCTTCTACTTTTTAAATTATTATTTTAATATTTTTTAATATTTTATTATTTTATTATTTTATTATTTTTTAATATTTTATTATTTTAATATTTTCTTATTTTTTAGTATTTTTATTATTTCTTAATATTTTAATATTTTTTGATTTTTTTAATATTTTCTGATTTTTAATTTTTTTTTACAAATAAAACAATTCTAACTACATTTTATTAAATTTATTACATTTTATCAATTAGTGTTAAATTAATCAGTGCATATATTTATCTAATCAACACAAAAAAATATGTAGACAAAAACAAAAGGAGTTTCTAGAAAATAAAAGAGTTATATAAAATAAATAGGTCCAATAAAAGAGTTATATAAAATAAATAGGTCCAAAATAGCTAGAGAATCGTAGATAGACCAACTAAATCTGTAAATATGGGTACCTGAGATGTAGACGCACCGAACATATCCATAAATCCCTGTGTAGTAGAACTATTTATTTTATATAACTCTTTTATTGGACCTATTTATTTTATATAACTCTTTTATTGGACCTATTTATTTTATATAACTCTTTTATTTCTAGAAACTCCTTTTGTTTTTGTCTACATATTTTTTTGTGTTGATTAGATAAATATATGCACCGATTAATTTAACACTAATTGATAAAATGTAATAAATCTAATTGATAAAATGTAGTTAGAATTGTTTTATTTGTAAAAAAAAATTAAAAATCAGAAAATATTAAAATATTAAAAAATAATAAAAATATTAAAAAATAAGAAAATATTAAAATAATAAAGTATTAAAAAATATTAAAATATTAAAATAATAAAATATTAAAAAATATTAAAATATTAAAATATTAAAATATTAAAATATTAAAATATTAAAATATTAAAATATTAAAATATTAAAATATTAAATATTAAAATAATAATTTAAAAAGTAGAAGACGCCACTGGTGGCGGCGTCTCCTCGCGGTGCCGCCACCGGAGGTGGCGTCTCCGTCCGATGCCGCCGTTCCCAGTGGCGGCCAACACCAATTTAATTACTACTTAAAAAATAACCCCATTTTAAAAACTCCAAAACAAAACAACCCCAAAAAAAAAATTGCCCCCTCAAACAAATGAATTAATTACCCTTCTTTATTTACTGTTCCTAAACTCTAAATTAAATCAAATTATTTGGAATTAAGAAAAAAAGAGTTATCTGTTTTTTTATTTACTTTTTATATAATTTTTTTTAATAAAAAAACTGATAAAAGGAAATATTGTTAGTCACACAAAAACAGAACTAGTTAGAAGGAAATATTGTTAGTCACATAGGAACAAAACTCAAGGCATATTATTCGATATTTGATTTTCGAATCAAATATTTATTAATTCTTTGACTTTCTTAGTTTCCAAATTAATATCATTTTATTATTAACTATTATTCGGATTTAATTGTTAGAGTAAGTGGGTGGTTATCGTTTAGCTAAGTGGATAATTAGCTTAAACATATGCTTAATTTATCCACTAACTCATTATCCCTAGTAACTCTCTATCTTCTTTTAGTGTGCTATTTTCGTGCATGACATGATGTTCCTGAACTCTATAAATAGGTGAAGATCCAAGTTCATTTGTACCAAATTCTAATGAGAATCAAGAGCGCAGAACATAAAGTATTGGAATACCGTGTACAACACCTTATATTCTTTATAGATTTCTCGTTACATAATTGAGTCTGTTTTGTATTAAATTCTACTGAATACTAACTTGTATTCCTATTGAAAAAATGAGTCCCCTCTCCTTACATGAGTTTGTGAGATGAGGAGGGTCCTGCTAATTTTTCATATTTTAAAATTGAGTAAATGGAAATACCCAAAACCAAACCGAAAAAAGAAAAAAAATAATAAATAATAAATAAAAGGAAATACCTTCACAATTGTTCATTCTATTTTTTTTTTATAATGCAGGAACCCGCAGCCAACCATACACAATTGTTCATTCTAGAAAATATGAACCACGGGGTAACGGCTACGAAGCAAAAGATTTGAACATGTCAGTTGTCACGTGCAAGCATGTGACCATCACGATTCAACACATGATTTTAATTTACAGCACAAAAGTGTATTACCCACCCCCGGGGCCTCTTTTGGTTTCTTTAGAACCGGATTTTTAAGATTCCTGCTTATATACATTATGAGTTCTTTTAGCTCTTTTAATCTATTTTTAAATATAGCTTATGTTTTTTTTTTAAATAATTTCTGTTTTTATAATTATAATTTAAAATACATTTCGACAACATTTTTTTTGGTTTAATTTAAACGGACTTTTAAAAGTTAAAGAATCATACGGTTGCTAATAATCGTATTATGTGGGCGTATACGTGTATTGAAATGATGTTTCCCCGTGGGCGTATAGGTGTATATGTATTAGTGTGTCTCGTTTTCGAATATGTGTTACATAAAGTAATAATAGTTGTAGATTGTATTCGTATTTTTTACAGATTGCACCCTGAAAAATGTGCATTTTTGACGCAATACACCATAAAATAATTTTTTTGACATAACGTACCTCAAGATTACAGTTTATTTTATGTGTTGCACCCATGTTAAATTTCAAGAGGATCACCAGAAAAAAATAAATAAACAAGTAGTTAGGGGTAAATTTGGGCCGCGCATAACTATTTCCATCTAAAAAACAAATAGATAAAATAAGAGAAGATCGAATAAATATATATTTTATAAAATAATTATTATATTTTGTATTTCTTACAAAGCATGAATTTCAAGAAATTAAACAAATGATCATGTATTTTGTTTTTTCTATATGGTTTTAACTAAAAGAAAAAAAAAATCCATTCAAACAATTTTAATCTTCCATCTTGATAAGTTTCTCGTGCAAACTAAGAAGAGAAAGAAACTTGTAAATATAAAATCCATCATTTAATTGTTCTGGCTATATATCTGGTAAAAAACCAACTTATTGTGTACAATCTTAGGATACATTGTACCAAAATTATAATTGTAGGGTGCATTGCGCGAGAAATAAATATTTCGAGGGTGCAACTGCAACCTGTCAAAAACTCGTTCCAACAATCCAAGATCCAAATGGGCCATAAGATTCGGTAAAAAAGGGAAGATCTAAAACTAGTTACTCCATAATGCAAAAAGAGATAAAAATTTGAAAGAACAATTTGAAAACAAACAAAAAGCTGCATTATTATATTATTCTTAGGGAAAATTGCACTTCACCCCCTCAAAAATATTTTTTTTCACTTTCCCCCCTAATAGTATAGAAATGAGATTGTCCCCTTTAAAATATACAACTCGGTGTACTTTGCCCCAAATGTGTATCTCATGACTAATTCTCGCCGGATTATGGGTATATATATTTCATTTTACTTTTATCCGCTTTTAAAATCCCTCTTTCATGGTTACTTAAGGTTCCCAAATTCATTCTCTTGCAAACTAGACGAAATTTTCTTCCAAATTCGACAAAATATGTTCTTTGTTTTCCAAAATCACGGTAATATGGGGTGGTAAAAGGTGAAATGACCTTTATAGCCTTAAACGACGGAATCACCCTTCCAATTTACTCAAACCCGACGATAATTAGACCGAAAATACACATTAGGACAAAGTGCAACGAATTATATATTTCGAAGAGAAACAGTCTCATTTCTGCATTTTAAAGGGTGAGAGTCCAAAAAATGGCATTTTTTTAGGGGTGCGAAGTGCAATTTAGCCTTATTATTATTATATTATTATTATCAGTCACGGTTAACTAGGAGACACTGACATAACAGAGAGAAAACCCTGAGACATTTTACCAAACACGACCTTATTGGAAACTGCACAATTCCTCACACAATACTTCCCATTATCTACACTACACTCATTTCTCATCCCATATATATATATATATATATATATATATATATATATATATATATATATCGATAGCCAAATAATGAATAAAAATGCAGTGTTAATATGAAAGCTTCTTGTTAGTCTCATAATTTATTCACTACTGCAAATGAAACCATTAATCTTTCTCGTCGGGCTTGTTGTTTTCTTGGCCGCCGCTGCAGCCGGGCAGCCCAGACCCGGATTCCTATACACAAGAACCATTTCGGGCGGCGGGCAGACCCGACCCGGATTTCTCTACTCAAGAACCAGAGGAAAATGCACTCCTCAGTAAACCATCCTTACCCAACTCCTTTTTTTTTTTGTTTTTTCTTTTAATTTCTCGGACGATTCAAAAATTAACCCAGATCTTGAATTTTTAAAAAAAAAAAAAAAAGGTATTGAGCAGCAGGAAGGAATCATGCCCAAAGATGGTGCCGGAGAAATCGACGGTGTCAAATGTATTCGGGTCGAGGGCGTTCGAGCGGTACCGTGAAGACCTGACGCTGATGGAGGCGGCGTCGCGAAACGAGGAGGCGGAGAACGCATTTGCCGGACTGGTGAAGCAGTCGACGGCGGCGCTGCTGAACTCATACGCCAGAAAAGGATACCCTTACGCCGCCTGGGAAGTGAAGACACTGCTCATCCGGGCTATGGTTTCTGAAAAGGCGGCGGCTTTTCAAGCCCACCAATTTCTCCTAGCCAATCAGAATTGTACTTGAATATTTATCTATCAATTTAGCTTTTTCATTTTGTGGATATACTATGAAACAAATTACTGTGTTTTTTTTTTTTATGGTTTTTGGAATTAATTAATGTTGAAACTTGATAACTGAAACTGGTGGTTTTTTTTTCTTTTTTTTTTTTTTATTAATATTTAATTTCTGAATATTTGTTCCATTTATTCTTCAATTTTTTAATGAGATTGATTGAAGATAGCTGAAGATTGCCGGAGGCGGAAACAAACATTCCTCCGGCGACGGCAGTGACCAAGCTTTTGAATTTTCCGGTCATTGTATTGGCCATTTTGAATTTTTTATGCAGGCAAAATCAGTTTTTTAGTCCTCTATGTTTACTAATTGAAAGTTTTAGTCGGATAAATTACAAAAGTTGAAAATTTTGATCCTATGATTTGCCAGAACGAACAAGTAATTCAATATTTGGTTGAATTAGTTGACATTTAATTTATAAAAATAAATAGATTGAAAATAAAATAAAAGATGAGGTTAATGAGTTAGATGGTTTTGAAGAGAACTAAAATATACCATCGGGATATATAAAGTTACATGTTGGATGTAGTTATCAAATGTTTAGCATTTCACCTTTTTGGATTTATAAAAAGTACATAATCTATAAATAAATATGAAGTATGAGTTCAAATAAAACCATCTAAACGTCCATTTAGGACACTGGCGGAACATGCAAGGGGCATGGGGGGCCATGCCCCCCCAAGATTTTTTTTTTTTTTTTAGATATTGTATT